CCATTGAAGATGGTCTTCGAGGCCTTCTAAATAGTCAATCAAGCAGCCCACTATTGCACAACCCCTAATAGGAAGACTTAATTAACCCGTACAAAATTTAAGACTAAATTTGTAATTTAACCTACTAATTTATATATTTTTATTATTAAAAAAATTGAGAGAAGTCAAAAGACTATAAAACGACGACGTATTAACTGGCGGGTCCAGAAAGTTTCAAAGGTTATTATAAAATAAGGCCGTTTCCAATTAGCGTAATCGTTGAGCTTCCGGAAGAATCGTTTGTCGTCTGAGAGTAGAGTTCGATGAGTTTCGAGAGCCTTCGCTCCAACCAGTTCTCAAGGTACATGACGATCCTACTGTTTCTTTCTTTTTAGCAGATTTTAGGGCTGTTAAAACTTTTTGTTTATTGATCGCATTTTTGGTGTAGTAGATTAATCTTTGCCGTTCAAAGTCTTACCATCTTTGAATTTCGACTTTTATTTCACAAGTTTCGATCGATCGTAATCGGCAAAAATGTCGGAGTACGAGAATATGGTGATGGGGAAGTTAAGGCTGAAGGGGAAGGCCTTGAGCGTAAGAGGAGATGGAATCAGAAAGAAAAAGAAGCCGAAGAAGCAATTTAATAATTTTTCTCAGGCGGAGAGAGAAGACGATTGAACATTGTTTTAAGTCTAAATTGTCAAGAATTTGATATATATGGAACAGAGTTATGGTTCGATTGAATTTACTGAATTCCTTTGATCGAGTTATTTTATTTAGCTTATCAGTATCTTTCTCTTTTGGAGATTGTTAGGAATGAACGCTGCTTCATTGTTTGATTGTTCTACAGAGAACATGAACATGAACGATATGCTAACCCTTGCGGAGAGGCGATATCTTCAGCAATGAGAGAAAATTGATGTTCAAAGAATAGCGAAGATGGCTAGAAAATCTCATCGGGATCGTATTCACGAATTCAATCAATATCTAGTCAGTCTGAGTGAACACCATGATATTCCTAAAGTCGAGCCCGGCTAACTTGATCTACATTCTGTTGTTCTTTCTAGTTTTGTTCAATTTCAACGGTTGAATCTCTTATCATTCACAGCAATCATTCACACCAATTTTAGTCTTCCAATTGTCATTCCTTTGGATCATAGGTTAATTTTTTTTTCTCTTATCAATCAAAATTTGTTTCTTTTTCAAGAAAATTCTTTTTTTAAACAATGTTCATGGATTATTGAACTTTATGTTATAATTAATAAATTGGTTGTGATCGTAAAAATTAACTTGTCAAGTCAATTAGTTGGTTCGATAAATATTATACTTTTTGTTTCTGGTTTTCTTAAATTATGTTAAAAAACAAATTTAAACCTTACAACCATTTTTACTATTACGTTAAAAAAACAAATTTATACCTTACAACCACGTTTACCTTTTATGTAATTTTTTTTCCATTGGGTCAGCATTTCTATCGGGAAGACGTAGAATTCCATCTAATTAAATTGAATTTGGGAACGGTCAGAATTTGCTCTCTCGTCATTATAAACCAAGTTCACATTTTGATTCAATATTTACTTTCAACTCAAAGATGTTCCCGAGGCAAGATAAGCATAGAGAACGAGGCAAGACAAGGATGAGAAAGCTATTTGTTTTCATTTCAACTACGGTTTTCAATCTTTATCGCTAGAGTAGCTTAATAAATCCAATAATATTTAGCACATAAAAAAATAATAGAAATATATTCTAAATATATTATAAGTTAGCTTTCTAACTTGGTTTATATATACACACGCACATAATCTCACCGTTCCCTCCCTTTTTTCAGTTTGAATCGGATTTTCATGTACGGGGTAAAATGGTAAATGCACAACATTCCCGCCCTTTTTCAGTTTAAATGCACAACATTCTAGCTTGAAGCCAAGAACAGAGGAAAATTTATACTATATTTAGTAATTAATTTTCAGAATCAAGGAACTCCAAAGGATTTCTAATGCTAATTCAAGATTTTCCCGGAAAAGAAAATTCCAGTGAGAATTTTACTCCCAGCCAAACAAACTAAATCAATCCATGCTTTAAAAGCCCCCTTCCATCTCAATTTCAATCGTAAATCAATAAGCTCATCGGTTTCCCATTGAAAACAAAAATCATACCAAAAAGAGAATCAACAATTACCGAATAACAATGGATTCCAGAGCCATTTCCGCTGCCCTGATTTTGAGTTTCCTCCTCTTCTCTGCAGCCTCCGCTTTCAATATCACTAATCTCCTAAGCCAGTTCCCCGATTTCAATAGTTTGAATGATTTCCTCACACAAACAAATCTCGCCGGTGAAATTAACAGCCGTAGAACCATCACTATCCTCGCCCTCGACAACAGCGCCGTTTCTGGCCTATCTGGAAAGCCGTTGGACGTTCTGAGAAGGATCTTGAGCGTTCATGTTATTCTCGATTACTACGATGCTCAGAAGCTTGCTAGATTGTCTTCCGATAATACTACTGTTCTCACCACTCTGTTTCAGGCAAGCGGCGCTGCCAGGAATCAGCAAGGTTTCATCAAGGTTACGCAGAATGGTCAAGGTGAGATCGCGTTCGGATCCGCCGTGAGAGGAACTCAGTTCGATTCGAGATTGGTGAAATCCGTCGTCGCACAGCCGTACAATATCTGTGTTCTTCAGATCTCATCTCCGATTCAGGTTCCTGGAATCGATGCCAAGCCACCTCGCTCCTCTCCAACACCACCACCACCGTCGTCGTTTTCTCCCGTCGGATCACCTAAAAAGGCACCGGCTCCTTCCGCTAAGACTCCGTCAAAGGCTAGGGCTCCTCCCGCCAAAAAACCGAAGGTTGTTGCCGATTCGCCGGCAAGGTCTCCACCGAAAGCAGCCGACGGTGATGATGATGCGGCTGCTCCAGCACCTAGCGATGAATCCGGCGCCTCACGCGGTAGCTTCATCGGAGCTGCGGCTGTTATGGCTGTGATCTCGGTGTTTCTGGCTCTGTGAGTTCAAGAAGCCAATGCGGTTATGCTTTAAAGATTGAAAAATTTTGAATTATGTATGCCGCTCAATTGCGTAATGCAATGAGCGGAAAATATATAATTTTTTTCAATGAGATTTCTACTTTCTTTACTCTTCTTCCCATAATTAAAATTAATTATTAAAAACTATTAAAATGAGATAGTATTATTCAAGCATGAACTCACTGACTCCTACCTATGGTATTATTTTTCATACCGTATTAGATAACGAGTATGTATACTAGCCTCTATGATTGGATGACAATCCTAGTGTTGTCCTTGAAAACCCATTTACAAAAGAACGTACCAACAAAATAAGGCCGATATTAGAGCCTGGATCAATATTGAAACTGACACGAACAGTAATAAAAATACTAAAACTGGGGGTAATAATTTTCAACAAATTGAAAAAATCGATAAGAAAGATTTTAATTATCTTACAATGAATCAAGAAATCAACCCATTGAACAATAAAAAAAAAAATCTTTTTTGTTTTTGATTGGATGAGAATGAATGAAGAAATACTAAGTCGTTCCATATCGAATCTGGAACTTGATCCGTGAAAACCATTTACAAAACAACTTACCGACACCATGAAAACCCATGACACTTATAACATTGGAAACCCATTTATCAGGTGTCATCTCGAGACTTAAGATGTCATTAACTAATCTCGTAGACACTTTATGGAAAACTCGCCTAATAATTGAGACATCTTGATCATATCTTTGTTTTAGTACTATGAGGCATGAACTATCTTATCTCTATGTCAAGTCATTTTTGCATATGGGGCATCCCTTTATAGGGCCCTAACTAATTTTTGCAATACATTTTCATTAAAATATTTGTCTCAAATTTAGTAAAATATAAGTTAGCAAACATATTTGTTTCCATATTACCAATATTTTATTTTTAATCAATTGAATCCCATTTGTATGTTAATTAGCAAAAATTCTTGTTTCAATTCATTTAGGATAGCTAAATCGTATTCACAACTTATTCCAAATATCATGCATAAAAGTTTATGTATTCAAACAAATATAGGTAATTGTAGTAGTGAAAGTTTTGGGTCAATCCCACCAAAAACTTCTTTGAACAAGGTACTAGCACCATGCCAAACGTGTCCAAAGAAGAAGAGCAAACGAAACATGCCCTATCAACTCTGTGGACTGCTACAACACCTGTATACAGAAAGACCCTATGAACGTTCAGTGTTCTTTGTGATTGGCTTTGGGCCTTTTCCAGTTAGCTTAGGTGGAGGGCGAAGAAGAAACCATCCCCGGCTAGAATCCTTCCATCCACAGCTTTTCTTTCAATATGAGCATCATCCTTGTTGCTTCCTTTCTCAGTTCTCACCCCGTCCATTTGCTTCACTACTTGTGATCGCTGTGTTCGTCAATACAAAACTGCTTATTACTACGATGATACCCTTGTTAACTTCAAAATATATGATTGGCATGTTTTCAGGTATGTTTACTTGGCAGCACTACTAGAATTAAATGGTTGCTAAAGATCAAAATTAGGTTAGCAGATATGATTTTGTCCTCGGTAAGAAAGCATGATCCACTATGGCTTCAAAGAATAAGTCTGAAAGAACTATCAACTAATTCAAGATTTTCCCGGAAAAGAAAATTCGAGTGAGAATTTTACTCCCAGCCAAACAAACTGAAGCAATCCATGCTATAAAAGCCCCTTTCCATCTCAATCTCAATCGTAAATCAATAAGCTCATCGGTTTCCCATTGAAAACAAAAATCATACCAAAAAGAAAAAAAAAATCAACAATTACCGAATAACAATGGATTCCAGAGCCACTTCCGCCGCCCTGCTTTTGAGTTTCCTCCTCTTCTCTGCAGCCTCCGCTTTCAATATCACTAAGCTCCTAAGCCAGTTCCCCGATTTCAATAATTTGAACGATGTCCTCACACAAACAAATCTCGCCGGTGACATTAACAGCCGTAAAACCATCACTATCCTCGCCCTCGACAACGGCGCCGTTTCTGGCCTATCTGGAAAGCCATTGGACGTCCTGAGAAGGATCTTGAGCGTTCATGTTATTCTCGATTACTACGATGCTCAGAAGCTTGCTAGATTGTCTTCCGATAATACTACCGTTCTCACCACTCTGTTTCAGGCAAGCGGCGCTGCCAGGAATCAGCAAGGTTTCATTAAGGTTACGCAGATTGGTCAAGGCGAGATCGCGTTCGGATCCGCCGTGAGAGGAACTCAGTTCGATTCGAGATTGGTGAAATCCGTCGTCGNATAACGAACCTAAAACTATATAGAGAATATACGGTACTTTACGAAATTGAGTGTAGACATCAGGCAAACTGTTGGTATCAAATGGAAGGTCATCTATGTGGTACATCGTGGTGCCCCAAACAAGTTGCAAAGTAAGGCTTTTAGCAGAGCTTGGCTTGGCAGACTTCTCTGAGGTTGGTGATAGCACCACTGTTTTGAGTCCTTTGCTTACCATTCTTTCAACGTATAGTTCCTCACTACAAGTTTCCATTTGAGCATAGACCTGATCAAATGAATAGATATTTAACCAAAAGCCATATTGGAGCAGCCCTTCAAACAAACAAGGAAAGCTATTGGAGTTACTCAACTGTGTGGGCACCAAGAGCTTTAGCAAGAGAAGGGAGAATTTCTTCAGGCTTCCCATGTTGAATAAGCAAGTTAAGACCTCGGTTTATTAAATTCCTTTTCAAATCAGCCAAGCATTCAACAATAAATTGAGCTCTCAATGCTGCAAGGAAGGAAGGAATTGTAGGATCGTTGAAAGACTTGCTCTGCCCCATATACAAGCATAAATTCCAAAATGCTGAAATCTCAATCAGTGATTCAACTAATAGCTTAACATTTTGAAAAATCCAGCATAATACATGATCATATGACGACATCGCAATGAATTTCTTCCAAAGTCGCCTCACTAATGTTACGTCCAAGAAGAAAAGACATGGCCCTAACTCGACGGGCAACGAACAGACCTCTAATAGTTCCCACCATTACACTTAACTAGTCTAAATAAGTGTTACACGAAAAAAATAACGGAACAGAAGAGTTTCGTGATCAATAACAAGAAACAGAACAATAAACTATTTAATTCAGAGCTCAACAAGCCAATCAACATATAAACTCCGAACAAATTACATGATCATCGGTCACTAAAGTAAGGAAAAAATTCAGAAACAAACCTCCAGTTTTAGGAAATCCAAAGTAGCAGGTAGAACCAAAAAGTCTCGGATCAACGCAATACACCGGCAACACAGCCTCTGACGAAATCCAGGCCTTATACAGGGCCTCATTGTCCAGCACACGGAGGTCATTTCTGAACCATACAATGGCCACTCCTTTTCCTCTCTTAACACTCGAAGAAGAAGGAGACGCATACCGCCGGAACATTTGTTCCGCAATCCTGTCCATCTCCTCCGATTCTAGCCCCGGAACTTGACATATCGACGACGAAGACGACCTAGAATCAAGCTTCGAGCTAGAATTCATGACAAAGATTCGACGGTGAGCAGAATTTGCGGCGATTTGGGCCGGTTTCAACGAGGAAGAATTGGGGAGTGTCTTCAACAGTGGAAACGACGAGAATGAGATCCGGAGAGTGTTCATGATCCTTTTCTTTTTTTTATTTTCTTTTCTAATGGAATTTGTGGTAGAAAAAAAGCTTTAAGTAGCTGAGATGCTGACACGTGGGCAACATCTTTGGCTCTCGACGTGGCTCTGTAATAGCCTATAAAAGGACTTACTTTGATACGGTTGGATTATGTCCACGTGGCAACTATTCTGCCTCCAACTTGATTTTCCCGCTTAATAAATCGCCGTAATTTTCAAAACGACCGTTTTATTAGTCGATACGAACGCCGTTTTTATTTTTAAATTTTTAATTATATATCTAATAAATCTTTTAAATTTTTAAATTAATTATTTTATAAGATATAATTTGAATTTTATTTATATTGTATTTAGTAGGTTAGTGAACTTTTTTAAAAGGAACCTAGTGTCAACCCGTCACCGAGAATGTCCTATGTTCCAAGAATCAATGCTACCCAGCACCTACCATTGAGGTTAGCCTTCGTGATTCAGATGGTGCTGCTGCTGACATGCAAACCATTGAAGATGGTCTTCGAGGCCTTCTAAATAGTCAATCAAGCAGCCCACTATTGCACAACCCCTAATAGGAAGACTTAATTAACCCGTACAAAATTTAAGACTAAATTTGTAATTTAACCTACTAATTTATATATTTTTATTATTAAAAAAATTGAGAGAAGTCAAAAGACTATAAAACGACGACGTATTAACTGGCGGGTCCAGAAAGTTTCAAAGGTTATTATAAAATAAGGCCGTTTCCAATTAGCGTAATCGTTGAGCTTCCGGAAGAATCGTTTGTCGTCTGAGAGTAGAGTTCGATGAGTTTCGAGAGCCTTCGCTCCAACCAGTTCTCAAGGTACATGACGATCCTACTGTTTCTTTCTTTTTAGCAGATTTTAGGGCTGTTAAAACTTTTTGTTTATTGATCGCATTTTTGGTGTAGTAGATTAATCTTTGCCGTTCAAAGTCTTACCATCTTTGAATTTCGACTTTTATTTCACAAGTTTCGATCGATCGTAATCGGCAAAAATGTCGGAGTACGAGAATATGGTGATGGGGAAGTTAAGGCTGAAGGGGAAGGCCTTGAGCGTAAGAGGAGATGGAATCAGAAAGAAAAAGAAGCCGAAGAAGCAATTTAATAATTTTTCTCAGGCGGAGAGAGAAGACGATTGAACATTGTTTTAAGTCTAAATTGTCAAGAATTTGATATATATGGAACAGAGTTATGGTTCGATTGAATTTACTGAATTCCTTTGATCGAGTTATTTTATTTAGCTTATCAGTATCTTTCTCTTTTGGAGATTGTTAGGAATGAACGCTGCTTCATTGTTTGATTGTTCTACAGAGAACATGAACATGAACGATATGCTAACCCTTGCGGAGAGGCGATATCTTCAGCAATGAGAGAAAATTGATGTTCAAAGAATAGCGAAGATGGCTAGAAAATCTCATCGGGATCGTATTCACGAATTCAATCAATATCTAGTCAGTCTGAGTGAACACCATGATATTCCTAAAGTCGAGCCCGGCTAACTTGATCTACATTCTGTTGTTCTTTCTAGTTTTGTTCAATTTCAACGGTTGAATCTCTTATCATTCACAGCAATCATTCACACCAATTTTAGTCTTCCAATTGTCATTCCTTTGGATCATAGGTTAATTTTTTTTTCTCTTATCAATCAAAATTTGTTTCTTTTTCAAGAAAATTCTTTTTTTAAACAATGTTCATGGATTATTGAACTTTATGTTATAATTAATAAATTGGTTGTGATCGTAAAAATTAACTTGTCAAGTCAATTAGTTGGTTCGATAAATATTATACTTTTTGTTTCTGGTTTTCTTAAATTATGTTAAAAAACAAATTTAAACCTTACAACCATTTTTACTATTACGTTAAAAAAACAAATTTATACCTTACAACCACGTTTACCTTTTATGTAATTTTTTTTCCATTGGGTCAGCATTTCTATCGGGAAGACGTAGAATTCCATCTAATTAAATTGAATTTGGGAACGGTCAGAATTTGCTCTCTCGTCATTATAAACCAAGTTCACATTTTGATTCAATATTTACTTTCAACTCAAAGATGTTCCCGAGGCAAGATAAGCATAGAGAACGAGGCAAGACAAGGATGAGAAAGCTATTTGTTTTCATTTCAACTACGGTTTTCAATCTTTATCGCTAGAGTAGCTTAATAAATCCAATAATATTTAGCACATAAAAAAATAATAGAAATATATTCTAAATATATTATAAGTTAGCTTTCTAACTTGGTTTATATATACACACGCACATAATCTCACCGTTCCCTCCCTTTTTTCAGTTTGAATCGGATTTTCATGTACGGGGTAAAATGGTAAATGCACAACATTCCCGCCCTTTTTCAGTTTAAATGCACAACATTCTAGCTTGAAGCCAAGAACAGAGGAAAATTTATACTATATTTAGTAATTAATTTTCAGAATCAAGGAACTCCAAAGGATTTCTAATGCTAATTCAAGATTTTCCCGGAAAAGAAAATTCCAGTGAGAATTTTACTCCCAGCCAAACAAACTAAATCAATCCATGCTTTAAAAGCCCCCTTCCATCTCAATTTCAATCGTAAATCAATAAGCTCATCGGTTTCCCATTGAAAACAAAAATCATACCAAAAAGAGAATCAACAATTACCGAATAACAATGGATTCCAGAGCCATTTCCGCTGCCCTGATTTTGAGTTTCCTCCTCTTCTCTGCAGCCTCCGCTTTCAATATCACTAATCTCCTAAGCCAGTTCCCCGATTTCAATAGTTTGAATGATTTCCTCACACAAACAAATCTCGCCGGTGAAATTAACAGCCGTAGAACCATCACTATCCTCGCCCTCGACAACAGCGCCGTTTCTGGCCTATCTGGAAAGCCGTTGGACGTTCTGAGAAGGATCTTGAGCGTTCATGTTATTCTCGATTACTACGATGCTCAGAAGCTTGCTAGATTGTCTTCCGATAATACTACTGTTCTCACCACTCTGTTTCAGGCAAGCGGCGCTGCCAGGAATCAGCAAGGTTTCATCAAGGTTACGCAGAATGGTCAAGGTGAGATCGCGTTCGGATCCGCCGTGAGAGGAACTCAGTTCGATTCGAGATTGGTGAAATCCGTCGTCGCACAGCCGTACAATATCTGTGTTCTTCAGATCTCATCTCCGATTCAGGTTCCTGGAATCGATGCCAAGCCACCTCGCTCCTCTCCAACACCACCACCACCGTCGTCGTTTTCTCCCGTCGGATCACCTAAAAAGGCACCGGCTCCTTCCGCTAAGACTCCGTCAAAGGCTAGGGCTCCTCCCGCCAAAAAACCGAAGGTTGTTGCCGATTCGCCGGCAAGGTCTCCACCGAAAGCAGCCGACGGTGATGATGATGCGGCTGCTCCAGCACCTAGCGATGAATCCGGCGCCTCACGCGGTAGCTTCATCGGAGCTGCGGCTGTTATGGCTGTGATCTCGGTGTTTCTGGCTCTGTGAGTTCAAGAAGCCAATGCGGTTATGCTTTAAAGATTGAAAAATTTTGAATTATGTATGCCGCTCAATTGCGTAATGCAATGAGCGGAAAATATATAATTTTTTTCAATGAGATTTCTACTTTCTTTACTCTTCTTCCCATAATTAAAATTAATTATTAAAAACTATTAAAATGAGATAGTATTATTCAAGCATGAACTCACTGACTCCTACCTATGGTATTATTTTTCATACCGTATTAGATAACGAGTATGTATACTAGCCTCTATGATTGGATGACAATCCTAGTGTTGTCCTTGAAAACCCATTTACAAAAGAACGTACCAACAAAATAAGGCCGATATTAGAGCCTGGATCAATATTGAAACTGACACGAACAGTAATAAAAATACTAAAACTGGGGGTAATAATTTTCAACAAATTGAAAAAATCGATAAGAAAGATTTTAATTATCTTACAATGAATCAAGAAATCAACCCATTGAACAATAAAAAAAAAATCTTTTTTGTTTTTGATTGGATGAGAATGAATGAAGAAATACTAAGTCGTTCCATATCGAATCTGGAACTTGATCCGTGAAAACCATTTACAAAACAACTTACCGACACCATGAAAACCCATGACACTTATAACATTGGAAACCCATTTATCAGGTGTCATCTCGAGACTTAAGATGTCATTAACTAATCTCGTAGACACTTTATGGAAAACTCGCCTAATAATTGAGACATCTTGATCATATCTTTGTTTTAGTACTATGAGGCATGAACTATCTTATCTCTATGTCAAGTCATTTTTGCATATGGGGCATCCCTTTATAGGGCCCTAACTAATTTTTGCAATACATTTTCATTAAAATATTTGTCTCAAATTTAGTAAAATATAAGTTAGCAAACATATTTGTTTCCATATTACCAATATTTTATTTTTAATCAATTGAATCCCATTTGTATGTTAATTAGCAAAAATTCTTGTTTCAATTCATTTAGGATAGCTAAATCGTATTCACAACTTATTCCAAATATCATGCATAAAAGTTTATGTATTCAAACAAATATAGGTAATTGTAGTAGTGAAAGTTTTGGGTCAATCCCACCAAAAACTTCTTTGAACAAGGTACTAGCACCATGCCAAACGTGTCCAAAGAAGAAGAGCAAACGAAACATGCCCTATCAACTCTGTGGACTGCTACAACACCTGTATACAGAAAGACCCTATGAACGTTCAGTGTTCTTTGTGATTGGCTTTGGGCCTTTTCCAGTTAGCTTAGGTGGAGGGCGAAGAAGAAACCATCCCCGGCTAGAATCCTTCCATCCACAGCTTTTCTTTCAATATGAGCATCATCCTTGTTGCTTCCTTTCTCAGTTCTCACCCCGTCCATTTGCTTCACTACTTGTGATCGCTGTGTTCGTCAATACAAAACTGCTTATTACTACGATGATACCCTTGTTAACTTCAAAATATATGATTGGCATGTTTTCAGGTATGTTTACTTGGCAGCACTACTAGAATTAAATGGTTGCTAAAGATCAAAATTAGGTTAGCAGATATGATTTTGTCCTCGGTAAGAAAGCATGATCCACTATGGCTTCAAAGAATAAGTCTGAAAGAACTATCAACTAATTCAAGATTTTCCCGGAAAAGAAAATTCGAGTGAGAATTTTACTCCCAGCCAAACAAACTGAAGCAATCCATGCTATAAAAGCCCCTTTCCATCTCAATCTCAATCGTAAATCAATAAGCTCATCGGTTTCCCATTGAAAACAAAAATCATACCAAAAAGAAAAAAAAAATCAACAATTACCGAATAACAATGGATTCCAGAGCCACTTCCGCCGCCCTGCTTTTGAGTTTCCTCCTCTTCTCTGCAGCCTCCGCTTTCAATATCACTAAGCTCCTAAGCCAGTTCCCCGATTTCAATAATTTGAACGATGTCCTCACACAAACAAATCTCGCCGGTGACATTAACAGCCGTAAAACCATCACTATCCTCGCCCTCGACAACGGCGCCGTTTCTGGCCTATCTGGAAAGCCATTGGACGTCCTGAGAAGGATCTTGAGCGTTCATGTTATTCTCGATTACTACGATGCTCAGAAGCTTGCTAGATTGTCTTCCGATAATACTACCGTTCTCACCACTCTGTTTCAGGCAAGCGGCGCTGCCAGGAATCAGCAAGGTTTCATTAAGGTTACGCAGATTGGTCAAGGCGAGATCGCGTTCGGATCCGCCGTGAGAGGAACTCAGTTCGATTCGAGATTGGTGAAATCCGTCGTCGCACAGCCGTACAATATCTGTGTTCTTCAGATCTCATCTCCGATTCAGGTTCCTGGAATCGATGCCAAGCCACCTCGCTCCTCTCCATCATCACCACCACCGGCGTCGTTTTCTCCCGTCGGATCTCCTAAAAAGGCACCGGCTCCTTCCGCTAAGACTCCGTCAAAGGCTAGGGCTCCTCCCGCCAAAAAACCGAAGGTTGTTGCCGATTCGCCGGCAAGGTCTCCACCGAAGGCCGCCGACGGTGAGGATGATGCGGCTGCTCCAGCACCTAGCGATAAATCCGGTGCCTCACACGGTAGCTTCATCGGAGCTGCGGCTGTTATGGCTGTGATCTCGGTGTTTCTGGCTCTGTGAGTTCTAGAAGCCAATGCGGTTATGCTTTGAAGATTGAAAAATTTTGAATTATGTATGCCGCTCCATTGCGTAATGCAATTAGCGGAAAATATATTTTTTTCAATGAGATTGCTCTACTTTCTTTACTCTTCTTCCCATACTTAAAATTAATTATTAAAAACTAAAAACCAAAATGAGTTAAAACCATTAAAAAATTTCCAAGATGTTTCATGATGTCATCATTCATCGCTCGCTCTCTTTGACATGCTTATCGAAAACCGTCCCAAAAATTGAGATATCTCGAGTACTATTGAGGCATGAACTCTCTCGTATCCACTGTTATTTTTGTATATCGTATATGCCAACCTCTAGGATTAGGCAATCTCGGGGGTGCCCTTGAAAACCCTTTTATTGAAGAACACATCAACACCATGAAAACCTAGGACACTTGTAAAACGAGAGGAGTGTCATCTTGAGACTTAAGATGTCATTGACTGCTCTCTTGGACACTTTATAAAAAACCGACCCAATATTCGAGACATCCTGATCATACCTCCATTTTAGTACTATTGAGGCGTGCATTCTCTCATGTCTATCGTGTTTATGTCAAGTCTTTTTGCTTATTGTGTTAGATAACGACTATGTATACCAACCTCTAGGATCAAAGGGCAACCTCAATGTTGTCCTTGAAACCCATTTACGATGACTCTCAGATGTTTCTCAATCTCATCTCGAGACTTGGATGTCATCTCTTGGACAGTTTATCTAAAATCGATCCAATAATCGAGACATACCTTCATTTGAGCACTATTAAGGTGCGCTATTAAGGCATGAAATTTATAAAAGAACACGTCCACCGACACCAAGAAAACCTAGGACACATGCAAGCCGATTTTGGGTTATTCCATGTTTACCCCTATTTTATTTTTAACCAATTTAATCTCATTTCTATTTTAATTTTATAATTTCTTCATAAATATATGAATTTTCACACGTTTTAATTTTTAATCCATGAGAATAATTTACGTCCAAAATAAAATTCCCACATCACTTTCAACATAAATTTAATTGGAAATCCATTTTGGATAATGTCAACTATTTAAAAATAAAAATAAATAAACAGTGGATAATATTAACAATACATTTATTTAAAAGAAATACAAAGAATAACAATAATGAACAAAAAGGCAAAGGGAATTTGGCACCACAAAAAAAAAAAAATAATAATAATAATAATAAATAATAAATAAATAAATAAATAAAACCACGTGGATTAAATTTATTTTGATATTAATGGATAAATTGGATTGGTCAATTTCATAGCATACATAAAGAGGAACAAATTATAACAAAACGACCAAACTCCCTCGTGGGCTTCGAATTTTGGATGTCTAAAGCCATACACTCAAAATATACTCATTTCTCCCACTCACCCATCACTCTAAAGTTATTCCTCCAAATATATTATATTATCGTTTTATCTCTTCAAAGCTTTTCGATCAAACGCTCCATAAATTTTTTGACCCGTTACGTATCGCCGTTAGTCTCATAGTTTTAAAGCGTGAGAGAAGTTGAGATCTCACATTGGTGGGGGAAGAGAACGAAACGTTTCATATAAGAGTGTGAAAACCTCTCCGTAGTAGACATGTTTTAAAACTGTGAGGCTGAATCGATATTAATGGTATTAGAGTTAGACACTAAGCAGTGTGTCAATCCATTTAAGATCCCATATTCTTATGAATAGACGCGTTTTAAAACCGTGGAGTTGACGATGATATGTAACGAGTCAAAATAGACAATATCTTCTAGTGGTAAGCTTGGATTGTTACACTAAGAGTTCTCGATGTACATCGTATGTGATAGGTCAAAGTAAAATTGGGATGAGAGGAAGATAGGAATAAGTTTCGTGCTTCTGATCCCCGTTCAAATGGGGACGGTTCACACCTTCAAAACGACTTTAGAATTTTGAGAGAGAATAATTTTCCGTCAAATTTGACACAAAATTAAAAAGAAAAAAAGAAAAAAAAAGGAAAATAGGATTGAAATTAAGAAAAGAAGAAGTAGAGTTGTGGGGTAGAGGTTCCTTAAAATGGATGAGAGTGTGTGCATGCATGATGTGGGGACCATAGCCCCATGTGATGCCATGTGGGTAACATCCTATTTTCCTATCCTCCAAAATCTAAATTAATAAAAAAAAAAACATCTTCAAATTTTACCCTTTTATTTAATAAATATTTTAATAATATTCTTAAACTTTTAAATTTAAAATATATATATATTACCCTTCTATTTAATAAATATTTTAATAATACCTTAAACTTTTAAATTTAATATATATATATATATATATATATATATATATATATATATATTAATTTTGAGGCGAAAACATTAATACTTTATTTAAAAAATAAAATAATATTAAAACATTTGTAGATAAGATGTCGACGGACAGTTTTCATCATGGTAGAAATGTTTTATGGGTACTATAACAACTTAAGTACACTAGATATTGTCCGTTTTGATCTATTACATATTATCGTTATTCTTACAGTTTTAAAACACGTTTACTAGGGAGAGATTTTCATATCTTATAAAGAATGTTTCATTCTCCTCTCCTATCAATGTGGGATCTCACAATCCACCCTTTATGAGCCCAGCGTTCTTGCTGGCACACCACTTAGTGTCTAGCTATGATACCATTTATAACAGTCAAAGTCACTGTTCCACGTGTTACTAAACTAGTAGTAATAATAAATAAAGTCGAGAATAACTTTAATCAAAGACCCGTTTGATATTATCTCCGTTGTCCATTTTTTACTATTATTTTCGTTATCAAGTAGATCTAAATAGTTACCGAGGAGATTTAAAATGGTTAAAAACCCGAACAAAATATAAATTAATAAGGATTGGAAGAGAAGAAGTACATGATTTAGGGTGGAATAAATTGAATGGTTGGAAGTTTAGAAGGCATTGAGAAGCAATGAGTTTGTTAGAAAGAACCAATGAGGAAGACATATGATTGGCTAAGCCCTTTCTTGTCTGCCCCTTTTCCACTCAACAAAACCTCTCCCAACCCTTCTATACATGCTTAAACATGCTTTCTTCTTTGCCTATTTGCCCTTTTTCATAATTTTTTTTTATTAAATTTTTAATTTTGTGTTTAATAGATTAAAAAAAATTAAAAATTAAAAATAGATATAAATTTGAATTTTTGAATATTTTTTAGATAAATTATTTTTATTAAATATATATATTATTATTATTATTTTGCAATAATTTATTTATTTAGTATTTATTTATGTAGGATGAAAGGGACAAATATCCATTTCTTCAACCAAGAGACATCCAAACAAAGGTGTTTTTCTTATGTTTAAACGTTGTCGTTAATTTCGATTTACATATTTAAAAAAAAAAAAAAAATTAATAAACTTTTGACCAGAGAAGTTTTCACAAGATATATACAACCTTTTACTTATTTAACAATTAATTTTTAATTAAAAAAACAATGTTAAATTTAAAATTTTAATAAAAAAATATAACATTTTATTTCCACTCGATTAAAATATTAAATTCATAAATTTATTTAAACATCATAATATTAATTTTAAAAATAATATAAGGAATTATTGAGGATAGGGAGAAATGGATATAAACAATGGATAATAACGAAAGGAGAATATAAAAATTAAAAAAATAAAAATAAAATAAAAAATAAAATAAAGTTCCGAAAAAGAGAGAAATCCAATGATGGAATGGGAAAGTGAAATCGGGTTCGGTCATATTACCCACCAACAACCCAATCCCTTCACGTGGACAGCGCGTGATCTTCTTTTGGGACCAAATTCCCTTTCTCTCCCTCTTTTATATATATATATATATATTTTTTTAATGAAAATTAACTTCAAATTTAAAATTTAAATTTAAATGTTTGAACGTACAAATATTAAAATGAAATGAAACTCATTTTTTTTAAACTAAAGAAAAAAACAAAATAAATAATGAGTGGGTCCCACAATCCCAAATTAAAATAACCTAATTAAGAATTAAGGTAGAAATTCAAAATAAATTAATAAATTAATTAATTAAATAAAATAAAGGCGTCTAAAATATACCGGGGGGGGGGGGGGGNCCGGGGGGGGGGGGTGGTGACGTGGAGTGGGCCCCACAATACGAGTCTAAAAAGATTCCAAGTCCACCCTCTCCATTTGGAATCCAAATCCCCCATCTCTTCTTTCTTTCTCTCCCTATAAATAAACCCCTAAATCAAATTCCTTTCCGAAAAACAAACGAGCAAAACAAACACATTTTCAATTCACACTAACCGTCCGATCACCAAAATGTCAGGCGTTTGGGTATTCCGATCCAACGGTGTGATGCGCCTCGTTGAAAACGCTCAGGCCGGCGGCGATTACTCCTCCGACGGCCACCACCACCACCACAACGGCGGCGGAAGAAAGAAGATTCTGGTTCATCTTCCTTCCGGCCAGCCGGTCACATCCTACGGATTTCTTCAGAAGATTCTGGAAGGTCTAGGATGGGAGAGATATTACGAAGGCGATCCAGATTTCTTCCAATTTCATAAGCGATCTTCCATTGATCTCATTTCGCTCCCAATGGACTTCTCCAAATTCAACTCCATTTACATGTACGATCTCGTCGTCAAGAACCCTAACGTTTTTCACGTTCGCGAGCCCTAATTTCTTTTATTTACATTTTTTTTATTCTCTCTGTAATAATAATCCTTTGTAATCTTCATTCTGTACGTAGAATATGCTCTCAACTCTCCCTGGAGCTTTCTCTTCATAGGAATCAAAGTTATTTAATAAATTCTATCTTTATTTTTATTTTTCAAAAAATAATATTTTATTACGATGATGTAATAATATTTTTCGTTTAATAGCTTCATAGTCGGTAGCTTAGTTCAACTTTGATCTAAATTTATAATATTTAATGAAATTTTGGTTCACTCGGATACTTATTAGTGTTTGTAATTAATGGGTCCAAGCCTAAAGAATGGGTCGAGAAATTTACCGGAGACTAATGAGAAAAATTTTACAGTATATTTTCTTTTAATTTATTGAAAAATAGAAAAAGGAAAGTAATGATATTTGTAGAACAAAATTGGTTATTTGTTTTGTTTTTTTTTGGTATTAATTTTATTTATTTTAATTCTCTCTCTCTCTCTCTCTCTCTCTTTTTTTTTTTTTTTTAAATTTAAAAAATAATTGAAATAAAAGATAGATCCTATGTTTGTCCAATGCCATATCGCCAATAATTTAATCGTTGACAATTTGAAAACCATACTTTTTATTTTTTTAAAAAAATTAATTTATAATATTTATAATATTTTAATATTATGGCGTTTTAAAAGTGATTTCAATCAATGAGATATACTGTATTTAAATCATTAATTAACTGCTAGGGTGGTCCAGTAAGTAGTAATAAATTAACAAATTATAAAAATATATATATATATATATATATAAGTTTATATAAATGAGAAGAAATTTACCCAAAGAAAAGAAAACGAAAGGAAGTGATGGAAAGTGGTTTGAATGATACGATGTCCCCAAACAAGAAAGGAAAAAAGAGGAGGTGATGCTGAGCTGTGAGGTCCCGGGAGGGAGAAAGGGGGGTTCACGTGAGGGCCAAGTGCGAACTGCCACGTGGACGAGGGGCCGTCGTGATTTTGATAGCCTTTCAAAGGCAGTGAAGCCAGGGGAGAATGTGAAGGATATCAATCCCATCCATTATTATTATTATTATTATTATTATTATTTTTTAATTCCAAAAGAAAATAACAACTGGAAGTAAAAGGAAGGGTCCTTTTCTAAATACAGTACAAAATTCTATATATAAAAAAAAATTCACTCAATTTCAAAATTTGACCCCCAAAAACCTGCCCCAGATATATATTTACCAATGGTGGTTAACGGGTTTTAAAAATTTTTCATCTCGATAACTTTGAGGTAAAAAAAGTAATATCTTTATGTTCGAGATAATGAATATTTACTAATAAATTTGTTTAACTTTTGATTAATGAATCAAGAGGGTTATCGAACAACTAATTGATCGACCATACTTTTCATTTTCATTTTACTATACTATACCTATCATCACCCAAGTTCTTTTTCCTCCTAAAATTATGTATTTAGACGAAGAAAGCTTCAAAACACCATATACATTGAATTCTAGAGTTTTAGAAAGGGGCAGTAAAAAAGAAAAAAAAGATAAGAGTTTGAAGTAATTAGTGCATCATATCTAAGGCATAAGGCATAAGGCATAATAAAAGAAAAGAAATAAAAACCTACAAAGTTAGGAATCCTATGCAGCAGACTTGAAATGAAACTCATCTATGGTGGAATATATCAAACCTTCATCTTCAAGAGACCTTATGGAGTTACTGAAAACAAAAAACAAAATAATTAAAGAGTTAATTGCAACCATTATATTATAGGAAGGGAGGTGGAGGAAGGAGAAGGCATACAGTATTTTCTCCATTGGAATCTTTAGTTGTTGGGAAAGTTCATCTCTGTGTATCCCTCTTTCTTTGGCACTGTAATGGGCGAATTTTAGAATATATTCAAACTATAATTACTAAATTTAAATAAGAAGAATTAAGATATAAAACCAAAATTATATTTTTTTTAATATACCCTATTAGAAACCACGTAACTTCACGATAGTATGATAAGCTATCACGACTTTGTTTTTAGTTTACCCAAAAGGCCTCATACCAATGAAGATGCATTTGTTACTTATAAACCCATAAACAATTTCTTATTAGTCATGTTAGACTTCTCTCACAACCATCCTAAACAATACCGTCAGTATTTAGGAGCTAATAGATCTCTCAAGGACACTAAATTTTTTTTTGGAAGATTGCAATATGGGTGGCCCACATGAAAATTGAACCGTACAACCCTAAGGTCATACCTTGTCCCCTTATTATTGGGCCAAGGGCCAACTGGGTGTGGGTGTCTATGTAACCAATAATCAGAAGTGACCTGTGACTAAAAGTCAACCACCGACCTAACGTCTTGTTTGCTATTCACAGAGGGTTAACAAGTACTATGTATGACTCATAGTCACATCTGATGGATGGAATTCAATTCTTTAAATGTAAAAACCACCTTGTTTCCGGACATAAGTCAAGCTCAAGTCAATCCCATATAGGATAATGCAGAGTAACCAGCCAGCAAATAAAATAATCCAGAAAGGAAAAGGAAATTTTGGTTTGGGACAACTTACACGCTGGAGGGCAGCTGAAGATAGTCGAGGATCAAGTCATCACAATTCTTCTTAACATCAACAGTGTGCTGCTCAGATGGCTGCAAAAACAAATTAGATTTGAATCCCAACGCAAGATATTAAGTACTGTGGATATGATATTGTTCACTTCGCGCATAAACCACATAATTTCGTGCAAAATTTCAGACTGCCAATAATAATCGTGGTTAGACTCTTACTAGTACTGAAACTGAAGATGCTGTCTGATATCCACTCGAGCCATTCTGCATTGGAGTCTTCACAATTGAATCCGAGGATTGGAACTGTGTTGATCCAACTCCATTGAGATTCTAGCAGTTTAAGAACAAATGAATTGAGAATTCTGATATTCATTAATTAACTAATTTCAATCACAAAAAATAATACAGTTAGAAGCACAGCTATCAAGTCAGCTCCAGCAACCAGTACCTGTAACTTGGAATTCCGCAAGTGCTCATGTATGCATTCAATAAAGTGGAAGGTAATTTCATCAAAATTTGTAATAGGCCTGACAAAACATATAACCAAGTTCATCATCTTTTTAGTTGGTCAAATATACAACAGGAACAGAAAATTGTGCATTAGACGGTTTCCAACACCCCAATAATTACTTCATGAAAGAAGGCAAAGTGAGAGGTTAATGCCCTTTCAGAAAATTTCTCAAATCCATTGAAATACAAGTTTGAGAATTTCAAATATCAAACTTGAAAGAGCACCCATCTAATATTTACTATTATAATTACCGTCCAAACCCACCACTAGTAAATATTGTCCTCTTTGAACTTTCACTTTCAAGCTTTCAAAATTTTTAAAACGCGTCTGCTAGGAAGAGGTTTCCACACTTTTATAAAGAATGTTTTGTTCCCCTCTCCAACCGAAGTGGGATCTCACAATTACTCTGCTATGACACATTCCTCGAGACCATCAACAATCTTATAAACAAAGGTAATGATTATCTAATGTAGCACTTCGAAAACAAGTTTTGTTATCCTGGCATGTGGACTTTGCAATTTACGAGTACAATGAATAAAATGGTCGGCTTCACTTGTTTGTAAGATGTGAATAAAACCGGCCTATTGGTACCGATCCTATCCATTTCTGCTTAGGCTCTTCGTTCCTTGATGACAATAACAAGTTCCTCTCTCCACAACCGTCAAACAGAACTCAAGGACATTGTACAACAGTTCCTCAGTATTCTACCTAGAAATCAAGTAGACTCTATGCTGCTATTTATTTTAGAACCCAAGAATCAATGACCCTATTGAACAGATCCTACATAAGGTGGTATATTTGCTGCTATTTTTTATAACAGTGAAGTAGTACATATATGGCATTGACCTACATCAACTTGTTTAATTCGCAATCCTTAAGTTTCAATATGCAATTAAAAAACACAAAGTAGAATGATAGCGTATTATGTAAAACATTTAACTTCAAAGAAGTACCCAAACGCGTGAAAATAAATTGAAGAGAATACAAACATCATACCTTACAGAGAATGCAAATATTTGCTTGTTACTTTGGAATATTTTCAAATGCCCATTCACCCGTATATACATTCCATCTCTGTGCCAAAAAAAAAAAAAAAAAAAAAAAAAAAAAAAAATCAAAGGAAGAGTCATTAAGACAACTATAGTATTTGTCATCACAAGAAAATCAAATTAAACAAGAACTTACTGTATTTCATCCATTTGCTTAGTGTCGAAAGTGTCATTTACCCTGAATAAATTTTGACATGCATTCTTTAGTAATATGAGCTACACGACCCAAATAAAGGTTTAGTTTAAAGGTTTAGTTTAAAGGTTTAGGAAACGGCAACAGTATACCATCTTTTGCAGCCAATTCTTCCTGTTCCATCATCTACAATGAATGTGATGTCCGTATTCCTTTCAGCTTTCTCAGAGACCTTCCCAACGATTGTAACCTTTTTCCAATAACTAAAATGTCAGTAGTTACAACAAAGAGAGCTCATTCATAGTCTGTGTGCAGAGCTAATCAGATGAAAAGACAAGGATCGGTAGAAACCTAAAAACTATATACTACAAGAAATACACATACACAAACGATCAAATCTGGAGAATCCAGTCAGGAATACGTTCATCAACACGGCCTTTTAAGAAATGATAGTTTTCATGAAGGGAAAAGTTACATGTTACTTTTACATTAACATTTACTCTATATATGAAAATATATGGTCGAACACTTTTTACACATTGCAGTGATTTCAGATCAATACAGTATTTGGCATTGAAATATTCAACATTCCGCTAACATAATGCCTATACTCCTTTTCGGTCAAAGGTAGAAGAATCCACTAGCGACTGAACCACAGAAAAGAAACCTAAGAATTTAGTTTATGGAAAGCTTTATGGAAAGAGGCCCAAAATCAATGGCAAACGTGAATAACTCTAGTGAACAAGAAAGTATTACTACATTGACAGATAACATTAACATACGTTTGATTCAGTACTGCAATTTCTTGTCATTATTTGTAAAAAAATACTCTGTAACAGTGTTTAAAAGTGAGAAAGAAAACAAGGAAGTATACATTTGTAATGTCAACGCCGTTGATTGCGAAGTTGGCCTTCTCTTCGCCAGAATGCGAAGCTTCGCTTATCTGTTTTACAGTTGCCGGAACCAGGCCCGGCGTTTCTCGATTCTGCATCGAAGAATTCAAAATGTATGAAAATGGAAAATAGTAGAAATCGTTACAAACAGTCATCAATTGCCATCTTATTCACGGTTTCCGCTAGTGCTTGATCCAGTATCATAAATTCGACAAGAAAAAAAATTGTCTACAGCCGAAAATAACAGGACGAAACAAATGAATTTGATCCTGATTCTACACTTTTAACACCGTTTCGATCATCGTTCCGGCGATATAAAAGCGATTTAGGTTTGCACTTTTGCTCTCGCCGGATCCAAGCTATCCAACAACTTTAAGGAGTATTGATACCTCGATAACCATTTCTATCCCTTAGTTTCAAAAATATTCTCTCATCAAACAGAAATTTAGAAGTTATAGCATCGACTAACCTTCGCCGAAGAAGAGTCATTGGTCTGAGAAAACGTAAATCCACTGCCGGAATCAAACTGGCTGCTGGAGAACATTCTTTAAAACCCTGTGATTAACAACTCGATAAACAATCAACAACGGAGAGTGGGTGAAGAATTGCTATGCAGTTATGAACCTATGAAGTAGAAGCTTTTCATTTTCCCGCCACTGATTCTCAGATTTCCCGCCCGATCTTGTGAGCGGCAATGTCGATGAGCTGCAAAGCCCACAGAGCCCAATCTCTCGGTCCATCCAAATTTATCGCATATACCTTTTTATTTTAAAACAAAATAAAAAATAAGTTTTTTTTTTTTTTTTTTTTTGGATAAAAAAGCGTGTTTGGTAATTTTATTTTTATATTTATTTATTATATAGTGAAATTTAATTTTTAAAATCAAGTTTCATATAAATTTAATTTTTATAAAATGAATTTTAAAAAATTTACATCTTATATTATTTTGTCTCTATTTATAATAATACAATATTTTGTTATGTGTTAAAATCATAAATGGGAACATAATATAAGAAACTTTATTTTTAAATTTTATAAAATATTTTAAAATTAATAAACAATAAAAATAGTTTGATAATTTTTTCTCGATGCAAATATTAAGTCAAATATAATGAAAAAAAAAGAGTATTTTTTATTTGATTATTGAATTTATTTTTATTTTAAAAAAAATTTGTATATAGAATTTTACTAATCATAATTACAAATTTGTATTAACCTAATTTACTCGATTTGCTGATTTGGGCTTAAAATGGGCTGGGTCTCTGGCCCAACAACATCCTCACAGGCCCAATAAAATAATGGAATATGGGCCCTAACCCGCTAACAAAGTGGGCTTTCGGACCATACCTTTATAAATAGTTTTTGTTTTGTTTTTTGGTTCTTTTTTTCACATCCAGCAGATGGGGGAAAATGTGTAGAAGAAGAGGAGCCTGAATGTGAAGCTGGAGCTCTCGTATGCCTGTACCGATACATGAAGATTCTCTGATTGCTTGTCGTCTCCAGTAAACCCTAATTCTTAGGGCGTTACCTTTCTTGCGATTATTTATCGAAAATTGGGAAATGGAAACACGCGATTCCTTTTTCGTTGTGTGTAGTTTTGTCTGAAGAACAGATTCTACAAGTTTTACGGGGTGAAGGATAAATTTTCGATTCGGCTGATTTCAACTTATTGCTACGCGGCGTAGCTTCGTTCAAGTGAAGAATGGGGAAATGTATATGCAGCTCATGATCAGAGTTGGAAGTGATTTTCATACATTTGGTTGCTTGCTTGAAGTTGCGAAGGCGGTGATTGTTATCTGATTCGCCATCCGAGGAAGATTCTTGCATGATGAAGTAGCTAAATTATCAACTCAGAACGTATCGTATAATTAAGGTAGCCTAGATTTCGTCCCATGTCGGAATTTCAGGATTGGATTGAATGTTTATATATATATATATAATAACAACCTGTAGCTCTGACATACATCTATCTTCCTTCCTTGCTAGAACAATGCCTCGTAAGGTGAGCTACGGGTTGGATTTCGATGAAGATTACGACGAGTACGACGATTATGATTATTACGACAATGACTTCGACGTAGAAGAAAAAGGCAGGGAACTTCTCTCTCTGATAACATTTCATTTTAGTATCTTCCACGACTCCTTTTACTTTTTTTTTTTTTTTTTTTTTTTTGAATTTAGCTATTTGAAGTAATAATATAGACTAAATGACTTGTGGAGCATTGTCGCCATGTAATCAATTAAAATGAAGGGTGGAAAGATGATTGGCGAGCAGTGATTTGGTGATGAACAGTAGTTTAACTCTTGGCCCGTTATTTGGACGGGCTATAGTAAGCACAGCCTGCAATAAATTTGGAGTACACCGGTGTTGGTCCAGTTCTGAATTGTCGTTTTTGCAATACGATCATATGGTGATATTTTGTTGCTTTTCTGTCTTACCAAATGTTTGGGTTTTGTTTACGATAACAGAGAAGACACCTGAGGCTAAGGAAGGAACAAAGGGGCACAAGCTTTGGCGATGCACGATCTGCACTTACGACAATGAAGACAGTTTTACTGCTTGTGATATATGTGGAGTTCTGCGCATCCCTTTGGTCAACGACAGAAATAATCACGATGATGGAACAGGTACTTAATCACACATTGTTAACATGATTTTGTTCACTATTTAAAGGGAAACAAGTGCTATATAAATGGATTCAACTGCTTTTGTTATGGCTGAGTTTTGTGCTATTTCGCTTATGGTCGTTCTTTCATTCATTATTCTCCTTTTTTTCCCTCTTTGCATTCAGTATTCCACTTTTCAGAATTAAGATTTGTCGTATTAGGCAAAGGAATCAGCATTTGGTTTGATTTTGGAAGCTCCAAGAGAACTTGAATATTACTTCTTTTAATTTTTTGGATTGTTAAAAACTTCCCTTGCCTAGCTCATTCACCTTTCATAGATTAGATCTCTTTCAATGCAGTTGAGAACATTTGCAAAGACTCTGGAGTATCCAAAATGGCCAAGTCTCTCTTTGCATCGTCACCAAATCAGATACCCAAAAGGGAAGTAAAATTTCAAGAGCAGAACGATAAATTTTTGGAGGAAAGAGAAGATAACATCCTCAAGATTGGGAATATCCGGGGCCATTTGCATGAAGTCCATAATGCTTCTAGTACCTATAGTCATGTCCGTACTAATATAGGTTTGCACTTTACCCATTGTTTCAGTAAGATGTGGATCCACAAAATTAGAGCAAGTTGTTTTGTGGTCTGCTTCTTCACTATCTAGAGCCAGAATGATGTTGTTTAGTATTTCTAAGCAATAATGAAATCCAAAACGATATCTATTGCTCCCTTGAAGACATCCAAAAAATAATTGCAAAATACTTCTGATCTACAAGTAATCACTCTAAGATATCTTCAAGTAACTATTCAAAGATATCTTTTCTTTGCTAAACAACATCTTCAGTTCATGACTGCATTAGATATCTAACCTCATTCATGTGGAATTATACAGTCCCTTTCAAGTTTGATATTCCATCCCCAGATGATGTGGTTTCTAAGGGATTGCGTTCCTCCAAAGTTGATTTAAAAGGTATACTTTGGTGGCTGCAGATTTTGTTGTTGCTTTAGTAATAGTTGAGAAGCAAAAATTAAATTGCTATTTAACCAAGAGAAAGCAACAAAACCATGGACCTACACTTGAAAGATTTGATGTGTGTGCATCTGTCAAAACATCTGATAGATGTGAAAATCTTTTTACTTTGAAGAACATGAGGGATAGCTTGCATCTATTGGTTTAAGGGTTCAAGTTAATTACTTTAAGCATCTTTTCTTAGTGTCCAGTCCCCGAAGTAATTGGGTGTCAGGGAAGTGAGTGATAGTTTAAGACCCCTTTATCAAAAACGTACTGCCGGGGGTGGGTTTACCTGCCTATATGTCAAAAAGCTCTATTATTGCATCTTTATCCCACATTCATTCGCAGGGGAAAATTTTATTTTCTGTGGTTTTGTATGTAGTAAAGCAATGCTTTTACTGTGTTTTGTGATACTTTATTGTGAGTCTAGTTGTAACTGTTTGGCTGTTTTCCTACAGTCTTCTTGAATGACTAGGACAAATTTACCTCTAGTATGCATTCTCCAAAGCAATTCTTCTTCCGTTCTCTTAGATGATTGATTACTCCCCACTGCGCTTCAATTTGGTTCTGTTCTAAAGTCTTTCTGGATCCTTTATTTTCAAGTTCAAAAGCAGTTCATTCCCTTCTGCGATTGATAGATCTGGATTATTTATTATTTAACTTATTTTGGAGATGATGAAAGTGGAACTAAAATACCATTGTTGTCAATTTTGTTTGATCATTTCCATTACTCAATCATCACAATATACTTGCTGATATCCAATGTACCACAATATTTTGACATCTTTTGTTATTCATGTTATATTAGGAGTACATCGATCAATCAATGGTAAAATTAGGCTTTAAAATGTGTCATCTAGTGGTTGGTTTTGGCTGCCAACTTGAACTTGGTTTCAGTTAGAAGGATGAATTTTCTGTTCCAATGTTTCTATTTCCGTGGTTGGTTATTCAGTCTACCTGTATCTCGATTAAGTAATAGATATCTTTGGAATTTCTGCTCCTAATGTTACCATCTGAAAAAAGTCTGCTTTCTGATGATTCACCATTTTCTAGCAGTCAGCCACAACGACTTCAACTCTTCAATATTATCTTCAGACGTCACTAAGAAGTGTGCAAATAATGAAGTATTGGCTTCAAAAGGTGCACATAGATCGTCTGCTGTATTGCCGACGGGCAAATTAGGCAGTGTAGGAAATACACAGCTGAGTACCAAAAGTTCAGACAACTGGAGCACAACAATTGGAAAAAGTACAGTGGTCACTGAAGAGCATAATACGTCAATTAGTATAACGAAAAATTCACGATCACGTGATAACAGGTCATCAAGCACTTCCACATCAAAATCAGCAGGCAAATTTGAAAGCATGGATGAGAGCAGTAACCGTTCTGTGGAGCAGGAAAAGCCCCAAAGTCTTGCCGGTAGTTTGAACAACATGGTTCTAAATGTCAAATCTGCCTATGCAAATTATATTAGTGGGCTAGGAAAAACATCAAATGTGCCTTACAAGGTTGATAAATGGATGCTACCTGATAAAGCTGTAGATACTTTGACTCAGCTGAATCTTGCTATAGTAAGTCTACATATAAGTGTGCAGTCTCGTGAATTATTTTGAAGTATCTTTTTAAGCCTTTTATCAATTTATAGAAAGGCATATGAATACTATTTTATTTAACATTTTGTAGGTTGGTCATGTTGATTCTGGAAAATCTACTCTCTCAGGAAGACTTTTGCACTTATTGGGACGTGTATCCCAGAAAGAAATGCACAAATATGAAAAAGAAGCAAAGTCCTTGGTAAAAAAAAAAAAAAAAAAAAAAAAANAAGCAAAGTCCTTGGTAAAAAAAAAAAAAAAAAAAAAAACTTATGCATTTTTTCAGTCATCCTCTACTTAATGACTGACTAATGATATTTTGTCTCAGGGCAAGGGGTCCTTTGCTTATGCCTGGGCACTGGATGAGAGTGCAGAAGAAAGAGAGAGAGGAATAACTATGACTGTTGGTGTCGCTTATTTTGATTCTAAAAGATATCATGTAGTTGTACTCGATTCCCCAGGCCATAAAGATTTTGTTCCAAACATGATATCTGGGGCAACACAAGCTGATGCCGCAGTTCTTGTTATAGATGCATCTGTTGGTGCATTTGAAGCCGGTATGGACAGCTCGAAGGGGCAAACAAGAGAACATGTGCAGTTAATCAGGAGCTTTGGCGTAGATCAGATAATTGTTGCCGTTAACAAAATGGATGTGGTGGAGTATTCCAAAGATCGCTACAACTTCATTAAACTGCAACTTGGAACCTTTTTTCGTTCTTGTGGTTTTAAAGATTCATCGTTGACTTGGATTCCGTTGAGTGCCATGGCAAATCAGAATCTGGTGAATGCCCCTTCTGATGCTCAATTGTTGTCCTGGTGAGTGCGCATGCATTCTTCCTTCCTTTCAGCCCATTGAAGCAAGATTGATTGAATAATGGAGTCTGTGATATTTCATCATTTATTTACCCTATAATTTTCTTAAAAGGACGTTTCTTCCATTTATTTTGATAAAAACAAATTGGGGAGCTTTTTCTACTCTATGCTATCTGGAGGAAGATTATCCTTTTTTTATTCTAGAGCTCCCCTAAACCTAGCTTCCTTCAATAACAGTCGGTCACTACTATTGCCAAATACTAGGTGAAATACTCGGTTGGTCAGTTTGGTTTCCTGACCAACCAATGTGCTAATTACCAAACGAGTAAAACTGACACTCTAACTGAAGGCTATTGGGAAGTAACTGAACCAATCTATCTTGTTGCTCCGGTTGGTTCGGGGGTTAAACTACATTCCTACGTTTCAGATGTCTTTGCTTGTTCTATTGGTTTCACAAACAATAATTTGTATGCAGGTATCGTGGACCTAATCTATTGGAGGCAATCGATTCCCTTCAACCACCCGCTAGAGATTTCTCTAAGCCGCTGCTTATGCCGATATGTGATGTAGTTAGATCGCTTTCACTAGGACAAGTGTCTGCCATTGGCAAGCTGGAAGCTGGAGCTCTCCAGTCTGGATCTAAGGTACATGCTTCTACTTCTAAGCTGAGTTTATGGAGAAGTAAAATTTTCCAGTTGTTACCTGCAAGGTCCAAAGTTGGCTGTTATTAATACAATAGTAATTTCCTTTTAACATTTTTCAAACTTCTAGAAGTTCAAATGTCATGTTTGTCTGTTTTTCGGTGTCGTGTAGGTTCTAATCATGCCATCTGGAGATAAAGGCACTGTGCGCACTTTAGAACGCAATTCTCAGGCTTGCAAAATTGCAAGAGCGGGGGACAATGTGACTGTTAGTCTACAAGGAGTTGATGCAAGTAGCGTGATGGCTGGGGGTGTCCTATGTCATCCTGATTTTCCTGTTGCTATTGCAAAACATTTGGAATTGAAGATTCTAACCTTGGAACTTGCAACTCCAATATTAATAGGATCTCAGGTGCATATTCTTGGATTCTTTTTCGATACTGTTTTTTCCCTTTTATTATTGGGTATTGATCCCAGTTCTTTCAATCAACAGTTGGAAGTTCATATACAACATGTAAAGGAGGCTGCTAGAGTTGCAAGGATAGTGTCGTTGCTTGATTCGAAGACGGGAAAGGTCACGAAGAAGGCACCGCGTGTTCTAAGTGCTAAACAGAGTGCAGTGATTGAGGTGAAAACCAAGTTTACGTATCACTTTCTGTTTCTATCAAAACTTGCCAGATTGTTTTCTCCATTACACTTGCAGCAACACGTTTTCGATTTTCTTTGTTATTAGGTTATTTTACAAAGCCCAGTTTGTGTTGAAACATTCTCAACTAGTCGAGCTCTCGGGCGAGTATTTCTGAGAGCAATGGGCAGAACCATAGCTGTCGGCATTGTAACCCAACTAATTGGAGACCCTGAATGATCATGTGTTGTATTTGAGGTAAACTTCTTGGCATAATTTTGAATGAGTTATGTGCTATTCGTAGTAGAGTAGCTTCACTGCAGAAGATGGTGCCGTATGAGCATCTATAGTAGTGGAAATTAGAGTTGGAGTACATATAATAATAATTTCTAAGGGATTTTGCGTGTATGCATATCAAATTATTGGTTACTTACCTTCAGTGTTTTAGAACGACTTTCTTAAAATAGCGCTTTTGAGGAATTTTAGATTGTTTTAGATTGCAACGTGCTTATTTAGTTGGAATAAGTTTTTATTAGTCCAGAAGTCATATTGATTCAAACCCTTTTATTAAGGTCGATAATGTTAGAAGATGAGTATCGTTATCTGATGGTAAGATACCCATTGTCCGTATATCATTTTCACTAATACATGACATTTCTGGCCAATGCCCAACAATGGCAGGAGAGGAGGACGATTGATTCAATTATAAAAAGTTATAAAAAGTTTAGAGGAGAGGAGGACGATTGATTCAATTATAAAAAGTTATAAAAAGTTGGGAGTTTAAATTGATTCACTTTAAAAAGGAATCGAGGTTAAAATTTTAGTTGAATAAGTTAGTTAAATTACAAATTTAACAGATTTGAGATACTAAATAAAATTTTCTACACAGATTTGAAATTTTCCACTGATGGCCTTCAGAATAAATTCATTACAGATTCGCTATTATGAAGCAAATACAACCTACCTGATCCTTCTTCCAAACGTGTAGGAAAAAACAATTCTTAATTTGCAAAATATAAAAAAAAAATGGCAGATCATCAAAATTTTGTGGTGTCAAGAGAATACAAGCACAAAAAATCCCAAGATTTCAGCACACTTAAGCTGCACAGCAGACTGTTCTTTCTATCATAAGCATTTTAAATTAAAAAGATGTAATGTAAGGCTACTAAAATACCACACTCTAGTGTGGTACATTCTTTGGCAGGTTTCGGATTACGTTGTTCTTCAAACCGATCTTGGTACGCATAGCTTCCAACCCGGTTCGATTCATTTCTTTCATCACCTTCATCCTGATCATCGTTTCTCTTGACTGGACAGTTGCCAATCCCATGCTCCTGTACCTGCAACTCAAACGACGATCTCTCGTCAATATTTTGTTCGCCCATTAACTTACTTGATTCAGTAAAAAGAACGTATTGTTTCGAGCTCCTCGATGATTGAGGAAGTCTTTTTTCACTTCACCCACCATGATTGAGACAAGGGAAGATCTCTTTGGATGGCAGGTACTATTTTTTTCCTTGTTTTGTAGAGCCTTTTTAAGGGTGTCAAGTAGTTAATTTCTAAGGATTTTTGTAATTGCCCTCGGTGATTTTCTTTTCATAGCCTCATTTGAAATCCTTCGGTTGGTTTTAAAACAAATATAATTTATAATAGCTACAGGCCCTCATGGTAAAAGAGCAGAACATACCTTGCTGCCAATACAGCAGTTAAGAGCGCATCATTTGCAGGAGACGGTCGTGGCTTTTGACGATAATAACGTAGAAATTGTCTAGAACCAAGTGTTTTGGTCGATTGTCGGTCGTTAGTTCTTTGAACTAAGATGAGCTCAGCTCCACCACTACCAAGTTTTACAGAATTGTCCCCAGCCCCTGATGGTACCAGCTGGTTGCTTCCATCCACATAACTACATGCAAACCATAGAAAATGAAAAGCAGCAATTCAGAAATCATGTTTTATTTAGAGCTGTAAGAACTGCAAATTCAATAAATAGAAGGATAAGCAGCACCTGCTGCTGTAATCATAAAATTCCTCCAATTCTACTTCTTCGTTCTCGTCTCCATCGCCATAATGCACTTTGCAATGGCTTTTTGCTTCCATGTGCTTCCTAACAGCTTCCAAGCAGCTAAAAGGAAGACGATTATCATTGCAGTACAGACACCTGAAATCCCTCATCACCTGGAAAAATGCAAAGTAGTACATCAACTTCTGGTTTTTATTGAGCAAAAAAGAACCAATGAAAAAGGCAACTCAATTCGACACCTTCAGCCCGAGGTATGTAAGGAAGCCTTTCGGATCCTTCAAATATTCAACATCAGGAATAAAGAATCCATGTTGCTTATGCATGTGGACCATGCAATTATCAATGGTGTCGTGCTTTAGATCACACATGAAGCAGCATGATGGATCGAAGTCCACTTCAATGGCATCAATATCATCGTCCTCATCCTCACCCTCACCCTCATCGATCATGTCTTCGTCAGGATTAACTTCTTCCCACTCCTCCTCCTCACTCTCTTCCTCCTCACTCTGTTGGGGTTCCTTATTGGAAATCCGCTGAGGAAGGGGCTTAATTATTGGTTTTTCAACTTCTTGATCATGTCTTCCTTGCGAAACCCGGGTAATGTGACTCCTAGATTTAAGATGTTGGGCATGAGCCTGCGCACTCCTATAAGCTTTGCTACAAAGACCACAAGAGTATAACATCGAGGTCTCTCTTGATTTGGCATTCTCTTGTGCAGCAGCAGCAGATTGTCTAGCTAAAAATAATGCCTCTGTCACCCCAGGAACATTAGCTACCTGATTTATTCATCAGATAAATGATATAAGAAAGGGTAAATTTTCAAAGAAATGCTATACATCCTGTATATTCCAAAACACTGAAATACTACAGAAACATCAATTATCAACAAAACCGTTATCCCTTGGAACGCCTATGGCCTTATAAGTATCTACAACAAGATGAAATCTAATGAATGTTACTGCTTAACAACCACCAAGGAGACAAATTAGAGTCCCTAAAAACTTCGGGTATCTATTGGATATATTGCAAGTCTGGAAAGAATATTATGCTCCATATGAACAAGTACATACTATGGTAAGTAGCAAAGGATAATTAACCCCTTGAATGCACGCCATATTTAGACCAATTCCCTAAAACTGATTAAGACAGCAACTAGAGTCACTAGAATTCGAAGACTAACCATCTCACAATACGAATAATGCTTTAGAACAATCGCTTGAGTTGATCTTATTATAAAAAATTTTAAAACGCGTAATCATCGGCATTTCTATATATTCATACCAAGATATCAAACATTCACACCAAGATTTTTAACAAAGAAAGCAAATACTGACGTCCGACTCAGAAGAATCCGGCAACGATGCGCCGGAAGCCAATACCAACACCCGAACAGAAAGGAACATGAAATCAGCAACAAAAGAAAAAAACGATTCTATCTCAAGAACAAAAGACATAAACCCCCTGCGCCAACAGAAAGCCAAACCGATTGCGCTCAATTATCAGCATAACACAAGTCTTACAGATAGAGATAGAAAGAGGACCTTGCGCTTAAGATTGTATCGATGCCATTCGGACTTGTAGTGAAGCTTTTGCTCCTCGGCGTCTAGAAATTCTTTGTTACAAGCATTACATGTTAGCCCCGTCATCTTTTCTCTTCCCAATCTCTGACGCTAACTCCTCTCTGCAGTTCTGATTCGAACTTCAATCACCCGATTCTGAGAAACGAAGCAACCGATGAAGAGAGGGAGAAAAATCAAAGAGAAGTAATATGGCGCCGACTGCCGACGGCTCGCGACTCTAAACAGACGAATGCTCTAGTGTGACCAATTGGCAATTATGGGCCATCATTTTGGGCCTTCATTGGGCCGTAGATTGTGCTAATGGGCCTTCTTCCAGAACATTGCAGTCCTTATATATATATATATATATATATTATTTTTATTTTTACTATTTTTAAATTTTGGAGTATATAGCTAAAATTAAACTATACATTGTAGGAAAAAGTCTCCTCTAATTAAATTATATATGATTTTTATCATTTAAACTATTTTTTATATTAATTATTTTGCACGAGGTAAATGGGTATCTCATTTTCTTCTCTTGGCTCGTTTAAGGTACGTTTTTGACTTCTCGAGGTCTCATTTAAACACGGTTCAATATAACTCGATTCAAAAAATCACAAACTCTCTTTAAAAGTTCCTAACCTGATATTTTATATTTTGATCCATATACTTTTAATTTTATTCATTTTAGTATATATACATTTGAAAATTTATGTTTTGATCCTTGTACTTTTAAAAAACGACAATTTGGACTTCTTAATTTCTCAGCCAAATTCATTTGCTAAATTTCGTATAACATGTAAATAAATAAAATTTAGTTATAATTACATTTTAGTTATAAAATTTAGTTATAATTACATTTCTAGCCCCTAAGTTTTTGAAATTGCATTCATGTACCCGTCAGATTTAAGAAAAAGACATTTTAGTCCCTCAATTTTTAAGGTACCTTCCCGGAAACTCTTTTCCCGAAGAATTATTGAATGGCGGCGTCCGATCTTTCGGTTGCAGTGGAAAAATCCACCGGAGAATAATCTACGCCTTCCAAGTTCTTCAATCTGTGAGAATTAGTCCAAGCCGCGTGTACTTATTTCTTCTTTTATCTGTTCTCTTTCCGTAAGTTCATCTTCAAAATTCTCCCTCCATGGCTTCAATGGCGGCGTGGTTGATCGGAATAATAATCGTAGTCTGCCAGTGAGTACTCTGCAATAATCTCTTCATCTTTTTCACTTCAATTTTTCGATCTTACTGGAAAGCTTGATGAAACAATGCTTTAGCTAATTAGGTTTTATGGATTTGTTTGATGTATCTCAGAGTCTCCACGCCATCGGCGCAGGGCGGCGGCGGCGGAAATCCAATGTCCATCGTAATCGCTTTCTGTGAGTACTCTGTAATCGTCGTCTTTCTTGCCAGAATATCGATATACTCCTGAGATTAAAAGCCGAGGTTAATTGTTTGGCCTGCAGCGGTGGTTGGCTCTGTGGTTGGATTGCTCATTCTCGTGGTGATTGGCATATTCTCTTACAAATTTGCCAAGAAAGTTGTAAGAGAATGGAGAAACACATCGACTCCACCGACGGATCTGGAATCGGCGCCGGAAGAGATTTTGGAAAAAGATGCACCGGAAATGGATAAATTCCTCCGAGAAATCGCCGACGAATATCCGATTAGATTCACCGCTCAGCAACTCAACGTCTTCACGAACAACTACGCAACGCGGCTAGGATCCGGCGGCTTCGGTGATGTTTACAAAGGCCAGTTCCCTAACGGATTGAAGATCGCAGTGAAGATTCTCAAGAGAAACTCCGACAAAAAAGCTGAAAATCAGTTCATGGCGGAAATCGGAACAATCGGCAGAACGCGGCATCGAAATCTTC